AAAAAAAAAAAAAAGGCTAGATTGTTTTAAGCTAGATAAATAGAGACTAATTTAGACTCATTTTCTACTTTGATTGCTGCTGTAGATCAAAAGAGTAATTACTGCAAAAGGTATACAATCAATATGAATAATATGGGCAACAATCAATGTTGGTGTTTTTGTAGACAATATAAAACTGTTGTTGTTTTAGGATGGAAAGCTTTCATTAAATTTTTGACTGTTTACCAGTTAAAAACTTTTCTAGTTTTCCTCTCCTTTTCTGATGATATAAAGTAAAACAATGGCTTAACACTTTCTAATACACTTAAAAGTTGACACTAAGTATCCATCCATCTGTTGTTCTTCAGGTATTAATCATTGTATTTTTCTTCTGCTTATTATACGTCAAAAAACAAGTCTTTGATATCTCACTGTTTTTTTACCTATTTTACCTAATATATGCATCGTTTTCAGTTTACTATTTTGATTTATCTCCTTTAAATTTTCGTCTGCGTTTTTTTTCCCTTTTTTTTCTTATTTTTTGCAAAATAAATTAGTTGACTTTTGAATAAATATTCACTTTAGTGTGTTGGTTCATTTTTAATGTCACTAAATATAACACCTTTTTTTTTTTCACTCTAGTTTTTAAGACAAGTTAATTGATCGGATCTTACGGAACCATAAATTTATATACAGCTGTTGTTGATATGGCAAAAAGCTTCTCTTTTTTTTTTTTGATTTTGTTAAATGTAAAAGAAAAAAAAAAAGCTTTTTTTTTTCTGGAATAAATGAGCAGTCAATATCATATTATGGATAGAAATTGAATGAAAAATGAAATTATTTTTCAGTGTCTTTACTTTCTGATATTTCAACTTTATATTTGGTTATACAATTTTGTTGCCTGATGTCATTCTGTCACTTTTAAGCACAATCTGCTCAAATCAAATGGGCAAGATGAAGAAAAAAAAAAAAAAACTTTCTATTTTTAGTTCAACATTATTTTTTCTTCAACTATAGTGCCAGTTAAAATTTTAACAAACTTTTTAAAGGTTTATTTACAGCTAAATATATCTGTTTTTGACTGCATTATCGGTTTAAAATTTTTCAACTTTTTCTTTTTTTTTTTATATATTTACACAATGCTCAGTGGCGCTGACATTTTTACTTTTTCGTTTACATATTGTTTTAGAAAAAAAAAAATTCAAAATTTTTTCTTTTTTAAATATACTT